GACCTTCGTTAGTTGCAGGAGAGTCAAGGAGTTAAGATAAGGAGTATACTAAAGCTATTGACCTCTATTCCAGTCCCCCGGCACCCTGGGGGTCCACCGGCACAAAGTGCAAGCCATGGCAAGCACCCTGGTCTCTGCACAGGCTGCTGGCCCCCACCTTGCTGGAACTCCTGGTGCAAGGCAACTCAGCATGCATGCATAGCCAAGCAAGCCCCAGCTTGGTGCATGCGCTACCACTGTAGACAATTGCTAGACACATAGTTGGCCGTTAGGAGCCAACGCGGACACAAGAGATGCAAGCCTAAACCCTAAACCCTAAACCCTCTTAGGGTTTAGGTTGAGTGTTTAGGGTTTATGGTGTCTTGTTTTGTTTGCAACGACGTAGTGAAAAGAAATAAGGAAAATGTTGCGACTTGACGAGGAATTTCAGACAGGGAGTTTTCCTGTCTGAAATTAAAAAAAATCTGAGTGTATCTTCTGCTAGTTGCGGCTTGCCTACACAAGGCAAGTTTGAGGTGTACGTACACCTCAGGGCTGTGTATCTTTGAGCCCCCCTGTTGCCTACAACCCCAGACCAGCAGGCATTCACTCGCGAGCCAAAATATGCTGATGGATTCTGTGTGCGCTGTATATACAGAGAGTCAGAGAGTTTACGGTGTATAGACACCAAAGGCGGCTTCACAGCCCCTTTCACCTCTCAGCTGCCTGCTGCAGCAGCAGTTCATATGCCAAATTAATCTGCTGCNGCTTCACAGCCCCTTTCACCTCTCAGCTGCCTGCTGCAGCAGCAGTTCATATGCCAAATTAATCTGCTGCATCGTCTCCTGGCGAGAAGCGCACTGGGTTTGTCCCCCTCCTGCTGTACCCTCAACGCAAGCACAGCCGGCTGCCTCGCTGTCACTGCCGCTGCTACTGCTGCTGCTGCTGCTGCTGCCTTTGCTGCTGCATGAATTGAGGGATGCACGGTCGGGGTGATGCAGTTTAGCTAGTTGTCTGTATCGTTGTTTTATTGCTGCTGCTGAGGCATCCTCAGAGAGGCCAAATAGCTGGCGGGCCTGCAGCAGATCATCTGCTTGTTTGCTGCTGGTCCGCAGGTGTTCCTCCCAGCTTAGCTGCAGCTGCAGCAGCAACCACTGAAAACTTTCTGTATAGCTTTTGCCTTTTAACTGAACCCCAATCTCTTGCTGCAGCTGCAGCAACTCTTGCCAGGTCTGCTGCAGCCCTTCCCATGCCTCCTGATGCTGCAGCTGCTGCTGCAGCAACTGCAGCGGAGTCTTCACCTCTGCCTCCCCGCTTCGCTTCAGCATCGGCGTGTTTAGGAATGCATGCAGCAGCAGCAGCAGCCATAAAAGCCCCAAAGAAAACACAAACAACCGACGCATGCACCGGATGAAACTCCAAGGAAGACGAGAAAAAAATAACAAAACTGATGCTGCTGCCCATCGGCATTTGCTGCGTAGCCGCTCACCAAAGTGCTGCTGCTGCAGCCGCACGGCCCTCAGCCCCAGCAGCTGCGCAGCTGCTGCTGTTGCTGCTGCAGTTTCTAAACGCATGCGCGCAACCCACAGGACTGAAGGCTTGCTGCAGCAAGCTGCTGCTGCTGCTGCTGCTGTCAACAAGGTGCCGGCAGCAAAATACTCTTGCAGCATATCCGCCTCAGGCAGCATGGACCAGCTGAGCTGCTGCTGCTGCTGAACCAGCAGCAGCAGCAGCTCTGCAG